GGTTTACCTGTTGACTTTGCTTGTCAGAACATGGCAAAAGGGGACCACATGGGGATTCCTTCACGGTCCTATCCTCCTCCTACAAGGATGGAGGGCTTCGTTTCTGCCGGCCACAGAGACGGCTTTGCAGCGCCCATACAAGGCCCACTGCTGCGTCTCCCAGGGGAAGGGGACAGGAACCAAGAGATGATGTGGAGGTCCTTTTGGGGGGACAGCTCCCACCTTCTTCTTCTCCCACAAAATAAACACCTGATACCCCCATGTTTGATGGAGAAAATACGTTTTATTGGAGCTCCTGTTGAAATCCAACTAGCCATTGTTAGCGTCGAACGAGATGGTGTGTCCGCACACGGTGCCTGGCAGTGACTGTGACTTGCTTGTTGGGGTGAGCCCTAACCACCTTGTCTTGTAAACCGCAACTGATGATGGCTTTGTTCGCCAAGGCAGGGCCAAGAAAACAGAACCTTTGTACAAATGGGCGAAGGCAGCCACCAGGCGAAGGAGAGAAACTCGCTGCAATTAGTGAATCAAACAAGCCTCTCATTCTTAGCGTTAAAAAAAAAAAAAGCCTTGTGCTCTCGAGTCAAATGAAATCATTGTGACAGTGTAATTTCTTCCGTAAAAACGTACGTTCCTCACCCGTTCAGCAAGATAATCGTCTTATATAGCGGCAAAGCCTACTTTTGCTGCAAAGAGGTAGAAACTTCTTTTGGAAGCAAAATAATCATTCATTCCAGGGTGAATTTAGCCCTTTAACAAAGAAATAGGAACAGAATAAAATATACTATCCCTGGATTGAACTCCTGTTATTTTTAATCCTGGATTTATGACTGCAATTGGGATTGGAATTTAGCTGAACTGGATTAGATGTGGTCTACAGCTACAACTTCATGCAGATACAACTGTTATCCTACGAGCAGCTACAAGGAATAGCTTTCCCCAAGCTAGCCTCTTCCAGCTTCATTGGGAACATCTATGGCAGGGGTCCTCAACCTTGGCAACTTTAAGACTTGTGGACTTCAACTCCCAGAATTCCTCAGCCAGCAAAGCTGGCTGAGGAATTCTGGGAGTTGAAGTCCACAAGTCTTAAAGTTGCCAAGGTTGAGGACCCCTGATCTATGGAGATTCTCCATCATCCAAAAGGCAACCAGACTTTCTTAGTTTTTTTCCTTGAAAACATTTCTCTTCTCATCCACTGAAGAAACTTCTTGGATGAGAAACGAAACGTTTTCAAAGGGGAAAAAAAACAGAAAGTCCAATTGCCTTTTGGAAAAGTGCCTTTGGGACTTCGCTGGGAGCCCTCCCTTCATCCTGGGAAATCTGGCCGTTGGGTTGAACAAAACCAATGCCGAAGGTCAACTCATTCTAGGACTAAATCCAAAGGAAATCTGCCCCCCTCTCCCCCTTTCAGGGAAACCCACGTAAATTACAAAGGGGAAGTAGTTGGCGGAAGAGGCTGCGACCTCGGTTGAGTTTTGACACTGACCGATATTAAGCAGGGAATCAGCCCAGCAGCTGAGAACAAACTCAAGATGTTTTTTTCTTTTTCCGTCTCCCGCATTCTGCTCTTCCTCCCGAGGTTAGCGCCGCTCGCCAGCTGCTGCTTGATGTCAACAAGCTTAAGTCATGTTGGCCAAACCGGAAACGGGTCTCCTGCCCTTTGGGCTGGAGTGAAGGCTTCAGAGCTGGCTTCGGGGCGCAGCTGGTGTTCTGCACCGATTTTGGGGACGGAAAAGGATGCAGAATGGAGGAAATGTCATTTTGCCGGTTGCTTCTCCGACTGGACCGTCTACTCCAAATGGCTTCGGATCCCTGGCAGCTATCCAGCGTTGCAACTGTATTTCCTAAGGTCATTTTGAGGGTCAAGTTGGAAAGCTAAACTTATTCATAATGCACAAATGAACCCCAGGTAGTCCTTGACGGACGGCCACAATTGAGCCCAATTCAGCGAGACCTTTGTTAAAGTTTGAGTTTTGCCCCACTGTACGACTTTTCTTGCCTCCGTGGTTAAGTGAATCGCTTCGGTGGATAAGTTAGTAACCCGGTTGTTAAGTGAATCTGGCTTTCCCCACCCTGACTTTGCCTGTCGGAAGGTCGCAAAAAGGGAATCACGTGACCTTGGGACACAGCAATGGTCGTAAGTACCGACCAGTTGCCCAGCATCTGAATTTTGATCACATGATCCTGGGGATGCTGCAAAGGTTGTAACTGTGAAAAACAGTCCTAGGTCACTTTTTTCACTGCCGTTGTAACTTCAAATGGTCACTAAATGATTCTACAAATCAAAAAGGGATTTCTCCTATCACTGACTACCTGAAAACGTGAAATTGCTTCTGCGCAAATATCTGTAAGATATTATTGCAAAGCCAGTGAGCGCCGATTCCCCGAAGACAAGCAAGCAGAAAACCTCATACAGGCTTCCTCGTGGGAAGTCTCGCGGTGTTGAATACGGTTACCCCTGAAAACTCATTATTATTGCTTTTAAAACCCACAAAGCCCATTGCTTCTCAAGCAGACAGAACCTAATTCGAAACAGGATCAAGGGAATGAACACGTTACGATCTGGAGTCTCCGGGTGCTGAGAACTGCTGCGGATGAATGTGAAACCGACAGCAGGGTCCTGGGTAAAATTCCCCTCATTAAAAGGCAATTAAAATCAGGGTCAGAACAAATCTAGCGTTAATCATATTGAATGGAGGCAATGTTAGGAAAGCCCATGCAGTCTCTTTTCAAAAACACTTCTGGAGAAAACTGTGGCATTTTCTTAAATCAGAGTCATCAAAGCCAGCAACCGACTTGCGTGACGTTTTGTCTCCATACTGCAAAAGATGGGTATTCTTTCTTCAACCTGCAGATTAGGGAAATCCCACAATTTATTGCCATAAAGACGATTATAGCGCATTCGAATATGTTCTGAATGGAAACCCAGAGAAGCCGAATTTGTAAACCGGAAGCAAGGTTTACATTTTCAAATTGAAATTGAACTGAAGGACCTTTGGTTTTTTAAAAAATGTGCTTTTGTGGTGGGGGTTAAATGAGTCTTATTTGCAAATAGATCACGAGTTCTAGTCCCACCTTAGGCATGAAAGCCAGCTGGGTGGCTTTGGGCCAGCCCCTCTCTCAGCCCAACCTACCTCACAAGGCTGTTGTTCTGGGGGAAATAGGGGGAACAAGTATTAGATATGTTTGCCTCTTTGAGTTACTTATAAAGTAATAAAAATGGGATAAAAATCTAACAAATAAAAATAACTCATTGGCTATGAAGATCTGAAATAAGTATTGATCGTTGTTATCTGTCAGAAGAAGCTGACTGAAACGCAACGGTTCAAGTCTAAACCCTGATTTATTAAAAGACTTCCCCAAACTGGAGCCCTTCTAATGTTTTAGATTTTAATTCTCAGGTTTTCTCTTTAGCCTGGGAAAATCTGAAAGATACTGTTCTAGAAAATGCAGAAGGCATCAGGCTGGCAAAAGGCTGGAGAGTATAAAAGCAGGTACAGCAAGTCATGAGCATCAGGCAGAATCCCTTGCAGCTACCTGTATAATTACACCTGTGGAACACCTGGCTGTACTTGGGCAGCTTTTGCTGCTACAAAACTGCTTAATAGTTAAAAGAAACAAGGTGAACTTTTCAGCTACTCAGAAAGTAGTACAAACGAAATGGACATCCCTTTTTAACATCATTTATTTCTTAAGGATCATCACATTTTACCAAAAAAGGGGAAGAAATGTAACCCCCCCTCCCAGACACACACAAAGACCCTTTGCACGTTTCCTGGTTTTGAGACAGAGAGAGAGAGAGAGATTGGAGTAAGACTCCCGTAAACACCAAACTAAGTAGCATGCTACAAAATAAAAAGAAGTTGGGACCATGAAGATCTACGAAGTGTACGTGAAGATCTTGTATTTTTAATGTCAGAAGGAGGCTGGTCGGCCTTCACGCCAAGGGAAGCCCAGGGACGTTTGTGTTGGGCAAGACAGGACCGAAATGAAACTGAGGAGCAAAGAGGCAGGCAAAATGCTCTCCCCTGGAGCACGTGAAGAAAAAACATTTCAGAGCTTTGTTTTCGTTGCCACAAAAATAAAAACAACCTTGACTCAAATGAGAACGAAGCACAGCCCTCGTGTTGTTCGGCGCAGTTGGTCCATGGCTAGTGGATAAACGATAAGGAATGGAGGACGGGGCAGAAAAACTGAGCTGAGAGGAGGCCGTTATCTTATCGCGACTTCTCAAAAACATAGTCCTCCTCAAGCTTTAAAGTAAAGAACTGGAGCTTATCTCCAACTTTTTGCCTTCCGTTTCTTGGCTTAGTTCCACACAATGGGTCACGTTCCAGGCTTCTTTCCCCCTTTAAGGGAAAAAAAAATCCCTAGAAACTGCAGATAAAAACAGAAGAGGGGAGAAAGGTGGATTAGAAGATGAGCAGGGATTTTGTGAAGGTACCTTTGAAGAGTTAAGCCCAATTCAGCTAAGGTCCATAGAGAAGTTGTGTCTTGGGAGATAAATTGGCAACGTCCCCCTGCGTCACACTTGCTGGCAGATGTGAATTGTTAACACACGTGACCTGCTTTGAAATCATCATCTCCTAGATCAGAAGTGTCCGACCGTGGCAACTTTAAGACTTTGTGGACTTCAACTCCCAGAATTCCTCAGCCAGCAGATGTTTCATGATCCAACTAGGGATGGCTGGCTGGGGAATTCTGGGAGTTGAAGTCCACAAAGTCTTAAAAGTGGCCAAGGTTGGAGAACTCCTGCTCCTCCCGTTCTCCTCCTTCACTTTTACTACCATCTTCCGCTGAAGAAAATTGCTGAGACGAGGCCAACGGGAGTCTTCGTGAGCCCCACCCATTGGGAACCAGCACGGTTAACTGCCTTGTCTAGGTTATTTTTAGGAAGCGAGAATGTGTCACTGATGGGGGGG